CCCTACAAGAAACCATGTTGGGGCCCTGAGAGAGCAGACAAATTAGGGTTTTAGGGTATACTCAAACCCTCAGGCCCCAGATGGAGGAGCAATTGAAAGGACAGCAGTGAGACGAGGGTCTGTGCTGCCTAGGCTTCCTTACCACCTGGGTCTCTGCAAAATGTGAGCAAGAGCCCTTGCAGGACACATAGGTGACTTTACAGAGGGCTAACGATGATGCCCATTTCAGGAAGCCTCACAGTTTCCCACAAGAGCCCAGCTGTGCCACCCACCACCAGCCTGTGCTAGAGTCCTGGTGCTGCCCCAGTGTCATGGCAGGGTGAAGGCACACCCAAGGCAACTGCCCAGCAATTCCCCACCACGTACCTCGCTTCTCCTTCCTGGTCTGCACAAACTCCAAGTGCCGCAGGGCACTGGGAGCCGTCCGTCTGTAGAAGCTGTTTCGCTGGAGCACAGAGCCCACTCTGTTTGCTTCCTCAGCCTCCTTCTCCCAGACCTGGCTCCAGTCTGGCCGGCCCGTGCGTACCCTCGAGCGCCCTGCTCCACTGCAGCTCCTGGCTTGCATCCCGGGCCCTGGGGCTGCTCCTTCCAGCTCTCCCTGGCCATCGTAGTCCGTGTCCTGCATCTGGGACTGTGAGTAGCAGGTGCCTGATCCCAGGCTTACTGTACTATCTCCTGAGGACCAGACTGCAAATGCAGGATCTTCACAACCTCTGTCCAGACTGCTGCAGTCCACAACATGGTCTCTGGGCTGCCTGTGCCACTCAAAGTCTTCTTGGTCCCTGACACCTATATACTGTCTTTCCTGCTCTCTATATGCTCCAGAGCCTCCATCCTCTCTATACCACTTTTCCCCTTCCCTATACACTTGATTGCTTCCATTCTCTCTATACTGCTTTCTCCTCTCCCTATACTCCCCAAAGTCCCTCTCCTGCCTAGACCACCTTCCCTTTTCCCCTTTTCTATACACCTGATTGCCTCCATCCTCTCTATACTGCTTTCTCCTCTCCCTATGCTCCCCAGATTCCCTCTCCTGCCTAGACCACCTTTCCTTTTCCCCACAATGTCTTTCTTCCTCACTGTAGTCCCTAGGAGCTCTGTCCTCCTGATACCACCTTCCCCCCTCTCTATAGTCTACAGGACCTCTGTCCTCTCCATACTGCCTTCCCTCCCTGCTATACTGCCCAGGAACTCTGTCTGCTCTATACTGCCCTTCTCTTACCTCAGAACGGCAGTCTCTGTATTGAACGCCCTCCCTCTCACATACCCTATAGTTTCTACCTTCTGTATCCTGGCTTTTGCCTTCCCAAGCGTCATCCGCTCTCCTGCAGTCCGTGTACTGGGTATCTCCCTCCCAAAAACCTCCACAGTCTCCATTCATGTTCCGTCGGTTCATCAAGACGCCCTCCCCTCTCCTGTAACTGTCCCAGCCACTCTCTGCTCCCTGGCAGCCAGGGTACTGCCTGCTCGTCCGGGGTCTGCCATTGCAGTGAGCCTCACTGTGCAGTGCGGCTACGTCAGCCACGTCTTCCCTCTCAACGGCACAACAGTCCTCATATTCCCAGCTGAGGAGTCGTGGCTCCTGCCTCGGATTCTCCACACCGTGTTTCCTCCTGGGATAAGTGCACATAATCCTGTCGGGTGTGGTGTAGGGGCTGACTCCCTTTGCCTCCTGCTCCCTGAGCCCAAGCCTGGGCTGACGCCGCTTCTCCGCTCTGCCCCAGCGCTCCTGTCCCAAGTGAAACGCAGGCACTGCTTCCTGAAACCGGCCAGCAAGGGTGTGAAGAGGCGCGGGCCCAATCACTGCCAGCCCGGCCTCCTCCACCTGCTGCCCAAAGTAATCAGTAACCAGCCCCGAGGAGGGTGGCTGGGGCTGGGCAAGCTCTCACTGCCCAAACCAGCTCCGCAGCTTTGCCAAAGCCTCTCTGCAGGCAGCTTAGAGGCAGGGAAAAAAGGAGAGCACTGAAGCATGCAGAGGCCCTGCCCCAGCACCAACGTCCTCAGGGAAGGGAAACAGTGTGTGAGACCACAGCTTTGCAACAGATCAGAGACAGGATACCAGATCTTCCCCTGCCTTCAGGCTCCCGCCGGCATGGGGGCTAAAAGAACAATCAGGTCTAGCGGTGGCTGAGCTCTGCTCCACACCTCAAGGGGGAAACTGAAGCCTTCAGCCTGCCTCTGGTTCAAACCTGGTGCTGAGCCCATCCTTTTCCCAGCCCTCACACACAAGTCCTGGGAAGAACTGGAGGTGAGCAGCTCTCTATGTGACAGAGTGTTGGGAGTGGGAGTGGGAGTAGGACTACCCGGAGTAACGAGGTATTCTCAACAGAGCATCTCTGAGCAGTGCCTACACAGACACAGCTGCCTGGTTTCCTGGTCCAGGGTGAACAGCTGGTCCATCTGCTGATAGGAACAGGCTTGAAGGGACTATCTGGGTTACAGGCCCCAATGACAACACACAATGTAAGCTTTCAGGATGCTGTAGAAATATATGCTCTTCTTGCTGCAGGGTGCAACGTATTCCCAGTGGTCCATACCAAACACAGGAACTCCTATGAGAAACCAAGACAACCACAACATGCCCTAGACAGACAGCAGGAGAGTCCATGCATGTCATCCACATCTCAGGTTATTGCAACACTTGTTAGGTATGCAGAGCCAATGCTTCCAGCTGGGAGAAGACAAAAATAAAACCAATGCACCCTCCTACTCCAACTGCAGGAGGGCAAACACTAATCCTGCTCAAGCCTGGTGATCTGTGAAACGCCCAGTGTGCACATGACATACCAAAAGAGCAACCTGAAGATTTTAAACACTGTTTTAAGAAAACCACATACTTTCTGCTCTTCCTTTCGTTTCCCCAAGGATACATCAAGGCGCTGGGCTCCCTCAAGACTATGCTAGCCCTACTTTGCTCATCAATGCTTAGGGAAAGCTTTTCTTCCTCTTGAGTGCTTCCGTGTTCCCCTAACGGCGGCAAGGCAAAGACCATGCCTGAGGCATAGTGCAAAAACATTTTGCTGAGCCGATGTAACACTGCATTACTGATCTGGCCTGCTGCACTGAAGCTGGGCTAGCAAGCCTCAGACTGCCTCTCTGGCTGCACTCAGATGTGGCAGAAGGGATGCAACGGAGCTTGGGTAGGGTACATCTTTATGATGGGACCAGAGAGGCTACTTACAAATTCTCAGGTTTCTTGAAGTAGTACAAATCCCCTAAGACTACCAAGGGTATAACTTGACAGGTAGGATGTCTCAGGATAGTGTGTCCTGATAGTGTGATTCCTGCCTAAAACTTCCAGTTCCAGTAACCAAGAGGGCACAGGTTCCACACAACCCATCCTCTGTCAGGAAGCACTGACAGGAGACATTTCCTAGCAAGAACTATCCCATAAGAAAATTTCCCTTGATCCAGCCTAAATTTTCCTCTTCCTACCTTCAAGTTACTTCATCCTGCTTCAATGAACCATCCAAGCATCCCTCTTGCACACCACTGACGTGGAGGCTGTTTGTCACCCAGTTTCCCTGGTACACCCATATCAGCCTTCACTCCCATGTGCTCTGCATCAGATGCCATCCTGTGGCAAAGTGCCTGGGCTCCCCAGCACTGATTAAGCAGTGGGAGGATGGAGGCAATGAAGTCAGAGTGAGTAATTCCCAGGCAGGAGTTGGCATTTCACTCCACCTCCTGCGTGCGGTGCCGACATTTCCTGCACACTGTGGGTTTTGATAACAGAACTGCAGTGTCAGAGCTCCTAGGAAAAGCTGGGAAGGGACTGTGGGAGATGTACGTGGTCCTGTCTTTCCACTTTTTCTACTGTAATATCAAGTATAACGTAATTAACAGCACCCACCTTTGTATGGCATCTTTGGGTTTCAGAGCCTAAATGTGCTGATATAAACAGGGCAAATTTCTCCTCCCTGAGTAATTTTTCTGGGCTGCAAGGACAAAAGCCATCTTTTTGGCTACAGGCATGCTGCAATTTAAAGCTCTTTGTTGCTGTTACCAACAGTGCAGCATCATTTTCCTGTCCTGAAATTCTGGACTCCATGGACGGCAGGAACAGAGGGGCAGGCTTCACTTTTTGCCCACTCCCAGGCCAAGCTCAGCACCCTTCTGTGCATCCCTTCTGACTTAAATGACAAGTCCCCAAAGGTCTGTATCATCATCAGAGCAGAAACTGCAGGAAACCCAGCGCCCTGACAGGCTGTGAGCAGTCACACCACAGGTATCAACTCAGATCTCAACTGCAGGACCACCAACAAAGCCACTCTGAAGCTGCTGCTCACTCCCCTACGGCTAAGAGGGGGTGATGCAGGAAGGCTGAATCTGCAGCAGTTATGTTTTTGCTTGAGAGCAAGAACACAGTGGGAATGGATCAGATGAGGGCTCTGGATGTATGGTGATGCTGGAGGATGATCGGAGAGTTGGAAGGAAAAGGGAGTGGGGAAGGCCAGGGCTGAGGGATGTCCACAGAATGACATTGTGGTTCTCTGAGGCAAAATCATGATGATTTGTACTGCAACAACGCTTACAAAACGACCAAACTCAGGAATTAAATAAGGAAATTACTGGCTCCAACAGTGGCAGTACACAGCGGAGGTCAGCTGACCCCCTGAAGCACCCCCATCCAACGGTGCTACAGACTCACCTCTCAGCTCCTGCAGCTCCATGCTTAGGCTCTCGATGTTGGAGTCACAAAAATCAAGGTTTTCCAGGGTCTCTGCTCTCACCAGCTCATCCTGCTGCTCCTCCAGCATCAGGCTTAGCTCAGTGCGGGTCTTGCCGTAAGCCTCCAGGTCTTGTTCCACCTCTCCAATCCTTGTCAGCAGAATGGAGCTGGGGGAAGCTGTTCCTGCTCGCGTCAAGTCCTCACGTCCCTCCTCTGCCCGCTGCTCCTGGGTGCTGGGGTGAAGCTGAGGAGGGCCCACACTCCTCCGCTGGTTGCTTGGCGGAGGCCGGGGCGCAGGCCGGGAGGGCTTCACCGAGAAGGACAGAGATCTGCCTTTGGGCACCTGGCTACCCAGTGTGTGCACAGGAGTTGTCGCAAGGCTGCTGGGCCGAGGAGGGGGTGGCCTCAGGGCCTTCCTCCTCTCTGGCTGTCTGGCGTGGGGGGTACACTCAGGAGACCCACGGACAATGTCCTTCTCAGAGCTGTAGTCCAGGATGGAGAAGTGTCGGGAGACCTTGTCCTGCTCAGCAGTGGTTGTCAGACTTTTCTCAAACTGCGCCAGCTGCTCTGTCAGTTTGGAGTCCAGGTCTGTGCAACTGTCCCCCTGTGCTGTGAGTGGGCAGCATTCCCCCCAGCTCCCAGCCCACATGTCCAGGCCCACGTGGGCACCTCCTAGGCTGGAAGAACAAGGTTTGGGCTTCTCCTGTTGACCATTCACCAAACTGTCCAGGTCCTGGGTGCTGCTCCAGCTCTCCTGGGGCTCGGATGCTGTCCAGCTGTTAGGAGAAGAAATCGCCTGGCTCCTGCAAGGATCTGGGGGGAAGCAGACAGCGTGTGGGGGTACAGTGGGACTGTCTCCATCACGCTCCGGCAAGGCATGAGTTTCTGAGTCTCCTGGGGAGGCTGAAACGCTCCCCCCAGGCTCCAACTCTCCTGCTTGGCCAGGCCTGTTGCTCTGCTGGGGAGCCAGCTGAACAGAGGTGCGAAGGCCATTGACAGTCTTTGTGCTGTCGAAGTGGGGGGAGTCCACTGTGTCTTTGGGACATGGTCCTTGGTGTCCTGTGCTGGGAAAGGACTGATGCTGTCTCAAGTCTGTGCCAAGAGGACCCTCTGACCTCCCCGCTGTGCAAGACAAAATGGTGTCAGGCTCACGGTATGCAGCTCCTCCATCCTCCTTTTCCTTGCCATCTTTCCCTGGCAAAGGAAGAGCTTCAGAGCAGGTGCTTTCTGAGTCTTGATGGATGCCTCCACCCTGGGGATCCCCAGCACCCATCTTTTCCCTGCAAGGCTCAGAGGCTTCCAGCCTCACAAATCTGTGTGGAAAGATGCCGCGTTTCCCCCTCAGCTCCCCTTCCAGCCAGCCATCCTCCAGAATGCCTACAATCTGAATCCTGTCACCCACATCAAAATTCAGTTCCTTGGACTCCAGGGCTTGGAACTGATAGAGGGCAACACCATAGGTACTCCCTGGATCCTCCTCTCTTTTGGGGGGCATCTCCACTGTCCCATTGGTGTCACAAGTCTCTCGTGGCTCTGGATCTTCTGAGATTCCTGATGTCCGCAGAGGAGTAAGCAGTTCCACAAAACCCTCTGGGAAAATGCCTCTGTGGCCTCTGAGCTCCCCCTCAAACCAGCCAGGCTCTGGGATGCCAACAATGTTGATCACATCCCCTTCCCTGAAGTCCAGCTCCTCCTCCAGCTGAGCAGACAGGTCCATCAGGGCCCGGGCTTGGCCCAGGGAGTAGGCAGGCACCTCTAGAAGAGCACTCTGGGACAGCTGATGGCTCCGAACTGAAAGGCACAGCTCTCGCACACATGATGAGGGGAAAAAGCCCTTGGAACCCCAGCTGCTTCTGCCCTGGAGCCAGCTGGAGGCCAGGGACCCCCCCAGGATCACCAGGTCTCCTGCAGAGAATGAGAAACACCAGTTCAAAACTGCCCTCATAATTGCTTCTCACCTCTTATTCCTGTCTCCTCATGTCCTTCCTGGCTGTGGGCAAGGTCTGGTACTCTGCACTGAGAGCAGTGCATGCTGGGGATGCACAAGAGCACAGAATGGAGGTAAGGCATGAAGCACTGGCAGCCTCTTGCACACACATATCTAAGATACAGAGTTTTGGCTCTGTGACTTTTTAGCTGCTAAGCCATGAAGGTGCACTAAAGCTTTGATTTTTTCCCCCAGATGCAAGTCTAAGATTTGGGGATTGTAGGGCTGTTAAAAGGCAGCTGTAAGTCTACTATGATCACACAACTCCAACATTTGGGGGTTCAAGAGTAATGATAGATCATGATAAACCAGTATCAGGGTGGCAGAAGCCCAAAGGTCCATAGTGGATTTGTCATGACCAATGCCATGAGGTATTAGGAAATTCTGTCTCTCCTGGCACTCTAGCCAGGATGAGTTGACCAGGTTCATGCTTCTGGAAGGACAGGTGAGGGCTATGAGATGCCAAGCAAAGGAAAGGAATGGAGATTACCTCTCTGCAATGACAAGCTCCCTGGCTCTTGAGATGTGAAGTCACTGGTACAAACAAACAGTTTCTCTCCCTGCTTCAAATGGGGAATATCCACAGGCTCCACAAAGCTGCTAGGAAACTGCCCTAAAATGAGAAGCAGTTGTCAGCAACGAGTCTTTCCTGTAGACCACCACCACACCCTCGACCCTCCTTCCAAGTTTTGGGATCTGTTAATGTCTTGCTAAAGAAAAATACCCAGCTACCGAAGGTGCTTCAATAGCATGGTGGAAAAGGAACAAGTTTGGGACTCAGGAATTCCTGAGGTTTTAAATGCTTAAGAGCTAACAGAGAACAAAAAGCTTTGTGCCCTCGGCTCACTCCAAGCAACCGACAGGCTGTGTTCGTTACTGGGACTGTGCCATCAGCATGGAGTTCCTAGAAACAGACACATTAGCTTTTCTCTGCTTTCACTGCTTGCTTCCCAAATCAGAGCCATGATGAGGACTGAGATCCAACAGTGTCTTCTGACTGGGCACATCCATCTGGTGTCCCTCACTCTGTAACGCTTGGCCCCTGCATAGCCTCGGTGCAGAAGTCAGGCCATCACACTTGGGATGGCCATGTCTGTGAGTCACAGGCTCTGCCACAGCTTTGGTGCAGCTGAGGGGACCTTCCACACTTTATCACCTATGTGTTATTTCACCACGGCACCCATTGCTATTCTGTGCAAGCCACAGCCAGATAGGGCAGCACAGACTTGCTGGCCATCGCAAGATATCACCCAGCTACTAATTTCAGTCCTGGGCACACTGGACGTGGCAAAAGCCACTACAAATGTCATTCCCGTCTTTTATAGTTTGTGGCAAGGAGAAATGATGGAGTATGGGCTAGTAGCACTTCCAGCATTCACTCTCGACAATCCAATCCATGTTCTCCAATAAAACTTGGAGACACTGTATCCCAGACACCCAGAACTTTGCAATGGGTTTAGGCAGTTTAGCATCTGCTGTCATTAACCTGAGCTGCAACCAGCAGCCCACAGGCTTCTAATCTCAGTGACTTCCTTCACAGTTTTAACCAACTCTATCTCTTTTTCCATGTCTTAGTTTTCTGCTCTGTACATGGAAACAACCTAATGCCGTTAGAAAGGACGTCATGAAGCTACATTAATAATTCCCCACAAAGTACTGAACACTATTACTGGTAGGCTGCAGCACCTCCACAGCTTCTATTCAAAAGCACATTTTCAGTTCCCTACAATTTTAACTGAGAAAACTGGGCAGAAAACTACAACAGCTGTTCCAAGGGAA